AGAAAATGGCTAAATGAAGAGAACTTTGAGGAAAGAGTTCAAAAACAAGGGATTTTAATCAATGGTTGGGCACCACAAGTACTAATACTATCTCATCCTTCGATAGGAGGATTCCTGACACACTGTGGATGGAACTCGATCTTAGAAGGGATATCGGTTGGTGTCCCAATGATCACTTGGCCATTATTTTCTGAACAATTTTGTAATGAGAAGCTTATTGTGAATGTACTCAAGACAGGAGTGAAGGGTGGTATGGAGAATCCAGTGATGTTTTTAGAGGATGAAAAAGGATGTGCACAAGTGAAGAAAGATGATATTAAGATGGTTATTGAAAGATTAATGGGTGAAGAAGAGGAAGCAAAAATGAGAAGAGAAAGAGCTAAAGGGCTTGCAGATATGGCAACAAAGGCTGTGGAGGAAGGAGGTTCATCTCACATTAATTTGACAAAACTAATAGAAGATGTCACACAACAACCAAAAATTGGGGGTTTAAAGTCTAGATAATGTTTCTTGATCAAGTATAAGAAAGGCAATATGTAGACAAATGTTGGAAAATCGATGTGAAATCTTATGCTGATTTACGTACGAATATTCAATTATGATTTACCGCTATAGATAAATTTGTAAGAGGTCAAGAACATACGATTTTGTTCAACTTGTTAAATCCAGTTACCAGCTGAATTGAATATTATGATATAAGTAAATAAAGGAGAGAATCATATGAATCTTTAGACGATGCCATGAATGTTGTGTTCAAGGACGTTTGTCTTAGATAGTGTCTTTACAAATGAAAGGAAATTAATAAAGTATTTATAGGTCACAAGAATGAGGCACCAACTAATCAAAAATAAGGTCCACTTTGATACTTAAAATGCTAGCACCAATGTATGTTATGCTAATTAATATTCCAATGCAATTACTAAGATATGTTGGCTTGAATATTTAAACCTCTATCCCATATTTTTGAATATGCTTCTCTCATTACTTTGCTATTTAATCTAAAAAAAGAAATCCTACACCTATATTGTATACGTTCTTTTTGTTGGGCATTTGTCCTGATTTCATATCATAAATAGTTTTTCTTTTTCAAAAATATAAAATTTTTATATTTGGCTAGTCAAGATTTAGAACTCTATAAATAGATGTTTGTTCCTTCTAATATATCAGTATTCACAATGTAGTCCTATGAACTTTGAGAATTTAGTTTAGGGGGAGAATTTGTGAGATAGTTTATCACTCCTTTGAGGAAAAAATTTACGCGCATCGGGTCTTTTATCCAAATTAATTCAATTTTCATTATTATGTGATTTAATGAACTAAAACACATGTTAATTAATTAAAGTCAAGTAAAATGAACTATAAACTTAAACACATGGCATGCACATAATGAATTAGTGTAAACACCCGGAGCGGGTAAGTTTTACCTCTTCAGTGAACCTCTTTGTATTTCAAGTGAATTGGATGATGTTATATCTCTATATATTTTGTACTCTCTATTATATGGTGAATTGCTCATCTCACATAGGTCTATTGATCGGACTACGTTAAATTTTTGTGTTTTATGATATATTTCTCGTTTGTCTTCTTACTCATGATTTTTCAAGATTTGCTTTGTTACTAACTTTCACATCACACCTGTTTATTTCGATCCTAACACTTTTTCTCCTTGAAATCTTGATCATTTTCTTTCATATATACAAGTAGATAGATGGATTCATGTCAAAATTATAATAGAGCCTCACAAGCACTTATCTTTTGTTGAGTGATATTTATCATGCTTGACTTTCCATTACAAGAAAATATCTTTGGAATACGGGTGTGTTTGGTATGGAGGATTTCCTGGAAAATAAGTAAATTTTGTACTTATTTTCTTATGTTTAGTTGATGACTAGAAAATATTTTTCGGAAATGATTTTTAATGTTTGATTTATGAATGAAAAATGTTTTTGAAAGACATGTTTTATTTTTACTAGAGTGAAAAATAATTTATGAAATTAAAAATATAACAATTTTTTTTTTTGGGGGGGGGGGGGGAGGGAGGGGGATAGGAATAAAAAAATTAAAAATTTGAAGTTGATAGTATTTTAAAAAAAAAAATTTGGGGGGTTGGGGGTGGGCGGGGGCTGCCTGAAGGAGGGAGGGGGAGGAATTTAAAGATAAAAAATTGAAGTTGAAAATATTTTAATAAATCAAAATTAATTTTTGGAGGAAGGGATGGGGTTGTGAGGGGGGAGGGGTTGGCCGGTGGTGGGTGTGGGAGGTCAGGAATCAGGTGAAAAAATAAAATTTTAAAATTAAAAATATTTTTTTAAAATCGATATTTTTTCCAAAAGAAAAATATAATTTGAAATTGAAAGAGAGTTTTAAAAAATATTTTCCTTCCAACCAGACACGGTTTTGAGAGTTGTTTGGTCACCGTCCATCAATGTGACTCATATACTCACTCACCGTCCACATTTTTTTTTTCTTTTTTCAGTCCAATCAATTAGAACCATTTATTTTATTATCTTGATTATAAGACTAAGTTCATTCAAACAATATTTTCTATTTGATTTCTATCGTACTGTCAACTCAAACAAATATAATTTGACCCTTCTTAAAGTAAATGAATTTTTTAAATCTATTACAATTAAAGATAATAATAATAATAATAACAATAATAATAATAATAATACTTCTCGATCAAGAGTTAGATTGAGTTTTATTTATATTAGACTGTTTTTGTCTTTTAACAACTGATCAGTTATTTTAAACTTACAAAATATTTATAAAAAATTGATGACTAGACTATTGTGTGAATTTTTCTTTTTCTTCTTATGCTAATCAGTTTGTTAATTAACGAGTCTAATAATGTTTATTGGGTCAAACAAGACTTCGAAATTCATATCAATTTACCTTTTGAGTTATTAAATAATGTGATTTAAATGTCTATACTATATGTTATTTTTTAAAACTCGTGTGGTATTATTGAGATTTTGAAATTTAAAATTTCAAACTTTAATTATATATTTGAACATGTATAAAAACTAGGGAAAATTATATATAATAGCAAACTAATAACCTAAATCAAATAGAATAGCTAGGGTTTGATTTAATTGTGCTCCATAGCAAACATTAGCTAAAATTTGTCAGCGTCTCTCTCCCAAAAATCTCGCTCGCCACTCTCCATTCTTGCTCGCCTCTCTCGCTTTACACAGAACTGTATAATTCTGTTTCTGTTTTGTATAAAGCGAGAGAAAATTGTATATACACATGCAAAAATGTATATCTTCGTGTTATACACTTAATTATACAATTTACAAATATTTTACTTCAAATATTGCAGAGAAAAAAG